GTGGTTACCACGGGCTCGAGCAAGTCCACACTGCAGCACTTCGCAGGAGGTGGGAGAACACCGCCATCAAGCGGTGAGGGCGTTGATGACTTTGCTCTCCGTCTCAACACTGCTGCGAAGATGGTGCGATTGGCGATGACACCTACGGCGAGGAGAGAGAGGCGTCGAAAAGCTCTTTCGGCTGCCCCGAGAAGTACAAGCAGATGGCTCGCTCGATCGAGTCCTCGCTGGATCTCTCCACGATGTCGATCGAGGAGGCGATATAGGTCGCCTCAAGGTCGTCGACGGCGATGAGCCACGATCTCTCTCGGGGCCTATCACCATGGCGGGAAGCTCCTTCTCACTCAGAGCAAAGTGGCTTGCCGACCTAAGGTGACCGGAAGAAGGGGGAGCCTTCTTCCGCGACAAGCGGTCGCAAGCGTGGCAAGCCACACTAGGCGCGCAGAGACGCCTGTGCCGGGCGCGAGGACGCGCCGAGGGTGATGCCCGTGAGGCGCCAGTGGCGTCGCCGTGGCAGTACAAGCCAAGACGAGACGGCGATTTCGCCGCAGAATCGCGCCGGCCACAGCCATTGGGCCAAGGATCGCCGATAAACGACCACGACGCGGCCAGCCCACGTCGACAAAGCGGAGGAGGAGGAGGAGGAGCCGACTGTTCATGGCACATGCAAGCATCGAGCTACCTCCGGCGGCACACCGCCGCAGCTGGCTCTCCTCCACCTTGACGAGCAAAAGCACACGCCTCCTCGGCGGACAGCCCGCAACGACAAAGCCCGGACGGGTGGTGCCTCGACACCGGTGCCACCCATCACATGACCGGTCGACGGAGTTCTTCACCGAAGCTTGACTCTAGCGTCCCGAGGCTCCGCTCAAGTTTGGGGATGCCTCCGGCGTGGAGATCAAGGCGTCGGCTCCGTCATCTTCACCGCCGTGTGTCGGTGAGCACAGAGCGCTCACCGGAGTCTACTACATCCCAGCGTTGAGGAACTCCATCGACTTGGGACATTTGGATGAGAAACGGTTCGCGCGTGGTGGTTGAGGACGGAGTCATGAGGATTTGGGATCATCGTCGCCGCCTTCTTGCCAAGGTATCGAAGCGCAAATCGACTCTACGTCCTTAATGTGCGGTGGCACAACCCTCTGTCTCGCCGCTTCGTCGGGGACGAGGCGAAGCGAAGCGATATAACAGCAGCGTTCGGGCACCTTCACTTTGAGGCCCAGGCGGCTCGGTGCCCACGGAGATGGTGCGAGGCTGCCGTGCCTCGACCATGTGGAGCAGCTCTACGACGTCTGCGTGTTGACGAAGCAGAGATGACTCCCCTTTCCCCAATGGGCGAAGCCGAGCCAAGGAGAGGCTCGAGCTTGTGTGCGGGGACTTGTGTGGCCGGTGACACCGGCCACACCGGGAAGACGACGCTACTACTTCCTGCTGCTCATCGACGACCTCTCCCGCTACATGTGGGTGATGGTCCTCGGCAGCAAGGGGGAGGCTGCGGACGCCATCAGGCGCGCGCAAGCTGCTGCGGAGGCGGAGTGCGGCCACAAGCTGCGCGTGCTGCTCACCGACAACGACGGCGAATTCACGACGGCTGAATTCGCGTCGTCGATCTGCTACCGACGAGGCATTCAGCCGCCACTACTCCGCGCCGTCTGACCCGCAATGCGAGCAGCGGCGTCGTCGGCGAAGCGCAACCAGACGGTTGTGAGGATGGCTCGCAGCCCTCCTCAAGCGAGAGGGGATCTTTGTCGTCTTCTAGGGAGAGGCGGTGGTGACGGCCGTCTACATCCTCAACCGCTTCGCCTACCAAGCGCGCCGGCGGCGGGACGCCCGTGACGAGGCTTGGCATGGGCGCAAGCCAGCCGGTCTCCCACTTGCGGGTCTTGGTACGCCTCGCGTTCGCCAAGGAGCTTGGCCACACATCAGCAAGCTCGGCAGCGGGAGCACTCCGGAGTGTTCATCGGCCACGCGGAGGGCTCAAGGCCCACCGCATCCTGACCCAAGACACGGCGTGTGTGCGCGACGGCGCGCGACGTTGTGTTCGGACGGCGGCGAGGATGGGCGTGGGACAAGCGGTGGGCGACGGCTCGGCTCCGACGTCACGGCGACTTCTTGTCGCCGAAAGTACGCCCACCGAGGGAGCTGGGGAGTAGGCGGCTCTTCTTCGGCGAAAGCGCGTCTACCCGATCCCGAGCCTCCACCGACCCCGGCGCTGCTACTCGACAAAGACCACGCTCTCCAACCGGGACCTCGGTGCGATGAGTTCTTCGGCGGCTCCACCACGGTACCGGCAACGCCACGCACTCCAAAGACCGAGCAGGCACCACTCTCGGCACGTTTACCCCCCACCACCGGCTCGTGTCGAGCACGACCCGGTTGAGCTCGCTACTCCGCTCTCACGACGAGGAGCGTCGTCGACGCGTAGCGTACACGACGGGCGAGCCGTTCTTGGTACCGTCTGTTGGAGAACCTTCTCGGCGACCGGCCGGTGCCGGGACCGGTGCCTCACGACACTGGAGGCGCGATTGCACCTTGCGTGTGACGACGGCGAACCTCGGTCGTTCTGAGAGAGGCCGAGAGACACGCTTGGCATGGCGCGCCGCGATGCGATTGGAGATGGATGCGGTTGAGAAGAACGCGACCGAGAGCTTGCCGACCTTCCTCGTGGTCACCGCGCGATCACCCTTAAGTGGGTGTACAAAAGGTGAAGAGGATGAAGCCGGTGCCATCGTCAAGCACAAGGGTCGCTTGGTGGCACGAGGCTTCGTGCGATGGGAGGGTCGACCGGACGACGCCTTTGCTCCCGTGGCACGGATGGAGTCCGTCGGCGACTCCTCCGCGCTTAGCCGCTCGGGAGGGTGGCGTGTTCATCACATGGACGTCAAGTCGGCGTTCCTTAACGGCGACTTGAAGGAGGAGGTCTCTCGCATGCACCACCGGCGGGATTTGCGATCCCCGACAAGGAGGGCAAGGTGCTCACTGCGTAAGGCCCTCTATGGTTTGCGGCGAGACGCGAGGGCGTGGAATGCCAAGGTGGATTCCACGCTAAAGGGATGGGCTTGAGCAAAAGCGCGCACGAGGCGCCATCAATCGGCGGGGTAGTGGAGGAAATGCTCTGCTGGTGGGTGTCTACGTCGACGACCTGGTGATCACCGGCATCAAGGATGCGGAGGTGGCGGCATTCAAGGAAGAGATGAAGGCCACCTTCCAGATGAGTGACTTGGGGCCTCTCTCCTTCTACACCGAGAATCGAGGTGCACGGGATGACTCCGGATCACGCTTCGACGGACCGCCTTACGCTAAGCAGCGTCGTTGAGCTAGCTGGGCTCACCGATCGCAACCTAGCTCTCACTCCGATGGAGGAGAGGTGAAAAACCGAGCCATGACAAAGACGACGGAGGAGGTGGGCCGCTACAAGATCTGGCGTCTTGTGGGGAGCCTTCACTACCTCGCCCACACACGGCCGGACTTGGCATTCTCCGTCGGCTCGTTAGTCGGTTCATGCGGCGACCGACGACGGAGCACCAAAGAAGTCGTGTGAAGAGGATCATCCGCTACGTTATGGGACTCTCGACCACGACCTCTACTACCCGAGGTGCCACTGGGCGGCACACTTCGCGTCGTGCGAAGCGATGACGGCGACGACCACGCCGGCGACATCGACACCAAAGAAGAGCACGAAGCGGGATCCTCTTCTTCCTCGGCAAGTGCCTTGTTAGGTGGCGGTCGGTCAAGCAGCCGGTGGTGGCCTGTCCATTTGCAAGGCCGAGTACATAGTGGCCTCCACCGCTCGACTCAGCGCTGGCTCGCCTAACCGCTTGCAGTGATCTCCTCGGTAGAGACACACTAGGCGGTGGAGCCTGGGGTGGACAAACAAGTCCGCTCTGCCCCGCAAAGAACCCCGTCTTCCATGAACGCAGCAAGCACATCCGGGTGAGGTACCACTTCATCCGAGGCTGTTTGGAGGAAGGGAGCATCAGGGCGAGCTACATCAACACCAAGGACCAGCTTGCGGACCTGCTCACCAAGCCCCTTGGGAAGATCAAGTTCCTTGAGCTCTGCTCGAGAACCGGGATGGTTCAACTCTCCCACAAGACGACGCACAAGACTTAGGGGGGGAATGATGGATAAGTCTTTGTGGGGCTGGTCTTTGTGGGGCTGCTGCATGGTGGTTATCAAGGACAGCATCCCTGACTGAAGGACAGCATCTAGGACAACATCTAGGACTAGCATCTTAGACTCTAGGACAGCATCTTAGAGGACAGCATATTAGCATCTTAGACTAGCATCTTGGCATATGCTTGGCTGGCTAGCAGCCTATAAATATGTATCCCCAACTCCTCAGGTTGGCATGGCATTTGTGTGAGTTTGTGTGAGAAATAAACCAGAAAATTGCCCCAACTCCTAGTGTCATCCTCTCTCGATGAGAGTAAGAATTCTGCTACTACCGAGAGTGAGAGTTCAACGACTAACAGGTCCTTGCCTTATCAATCTAACTTAACCCCTAAGGCACTAGCCGCATGGGCCTTAACACCAGGCCCATAACAGCCCTATCAGGCGCCTATGCTAACATGTTATGTCCTCTTTACCTGACATGCAAAGTCTCCTGCCATACTCTCATTCTCAGCGGTATTAACCTCGTAATATTATTTTCCAGCACGTGTAAGTGTTCTGCATATGTGCTTAAGCATAGTTTCTAATACACTTCAATGCTTTTTGTATAAACAATTAGCAGACCCGCCAGCATTGTTTGTCCGTGTTGATTTATTTGCATTCTGGTTCATGTCTCTAAGATGGTATCTCTAGTTTGGCTATTTGAAGTTAGTACATTGAATTGAATGTTAGTGGACAACAATTAGTCTAATATATGTTAGTATGTGCCACACTATCACTGGATCCATATTTATTGTCAAAGTTCCACTCTGCGCAGACAAATTTTGCTTCTATAGAAATGAACAAAAGGTTTTGCACAGTGATTTATGGCCTCTCTTATTTTCATGCAGGTTGAAGAGGTAGATGACATTTCAAATTGGGAGAAAAAAGGTCTTCAACTTTCTACTTAATTATGTCGTGAAAACTAAAACTCTTTTTTTGCCTTTTATTTTGTCTACTTTATTGTGAACTCTGGAAGTATTTCTGGAGATTCTGAATCATTCTCACTACCATATTGATTATACTCTTTGGTCTTTTTACCCATTCCAGAAGTTTGTGGCAAGAAACGGAAGGCACAGAGCTTTAGAGACGAGGACTACTACATAAGTTCAGTACCTCAAAACCAGGTATGCCTCGTAAACCCTGCTTAAAGAATTACTCTTATGCAACTTTAACTGCACTAGAAATGATCCAATCTGAACTTACAGTTGTAGTGTCTTGGCCTAACATTGAGTTATTGTATTCTTTTTTGGCCTACTTCAGCATTTGGAAGCTGGGTTGTCAGTGAGGGACAATGAAGGCTTTGTTGAAAATAGGTATGCACTGTATGATTGCCATTTTGAAGTTTGAGTGATTCATTTCCATGATATAGCATATCCACAAAATGCCACTGTTGAGTGTTTCTACTAGGGGAAGTAATGTTTGAAGTACAAGTTATATTACACTTCGAAAATGTGATTATGATTCTTCTGTGGATTGGTTTGTTGTTTAAATTGTTCATTGACATGTGTAATGTGTTCCTCTAGGGACCTGTTTCTTGTTGCCTTGCTGTTTTATGTTGGTTATTTTTTCAACTGTTGTGAAAAGGAAGTTTTTAAAGCATTCCTTTTGGCAATCTTATTACAGTTTAGAAAATCGTTGAATCCAAGTTTTTGATGTGTCTACTTTATCTCGCTCTCTCATGGATTGTTTCTTTAGTAGCTGTCAGTAATTTCTGTTGTGGGATGCAACAGTGCAACTGTGTCTCCTGTTGTAACGTGGATGAAACAACTGTTGGCAAGCACAAAATAATTGAAAGCAGTTCCACCAAGAAAGATTATCAGTCGACAGCAAGCCTTTTTGTTAATTGATCTTCCCATGTCCAGCCTATCAAGCATATGCATGATTCAGCAACATGTGCAGTAAACCTAATGTTGTGTAGGATCTGCCATGCTCTTTCTATGTTGTTGATGAAGACAGTACTTTGGATGTCAATGTTATTTAGTTTATTCATGAATTCAAGCGTGCAGTCTTGCCCCCCTGTTGCTTAAAACAATGTTACTACTGTCGTGCAGATTGGATGCGGCTGTTCTTGATTTAGTTGATGATGAAGCTTCTGGTATGCAAGGACAGAAAACTCGATATCACTGGATGAAGGTATATTTTCGTGTGACATTGATATTTAGACATATGGCATACTCATTAACATGCTTATTCTACTACTGCAGAACAAATTTGTCAAGTTGAATGCAGGGGATCGTGTCACTGCTACAGGAAAGGTGATCTCCTGCATGCTATGCGCTCAATGATGTTTTAAAATATCATTGAAATTCTACAGTTTCTCGACTTGAATAAATTGACTAGCACAAGCTGCGTTTGAGTATCATTCATTTTTCTTTTAGTGTGATTCCCATTTGCTAGATGTTATGTCATACCAGTTGAAATTTTGAATATCCTGGACCCTGTGACAAATGGAAACATCGATTGTACTTTAAAAATACATATTGGGTTTGTTATGAACTATGCAGATTCGAATGTTATGGTCACCCAGAAATATAGAATTTCACAAGTGGGTAATAGGCCCTCTGGAAGTAACATTATTCACTTAATGCTATTTTTATTTTTATTTTCTGGTAACAAGTTTTATGTCTTAAAGGTGGATTGAGATCTCTCTTCCTAGCTCAGTGCTTCATTTTAAATACCAAGACATATTAGTATTTATAGTACGCCGATATGGTATGTTCAGCATATATGTCAGTGAAAGATCAAATAGTTTAACTTCACAAGTCTGAAAATTCTTTCCTAACTTCTGTTAGATTAAAACGGAGGGTGGTGCAAAGATAAAGGCATCGGCTACAGGGATATATAAGAGATGGCAGCAGAGGACACATAAATCAATCAATATTGGTGGGAAATCTGGCAACTTTGAAGAAAAGGGCACATCCAGTTCAGGTAACGCTCTATTTCTGATTTTGTGTTGTAACCATTGCCTTTTGTGATTTTATTTACTCTCGCAAGTTGAAATTCAGTCCTGATTTGTTTTTGAAGTTTACTGTTTTTACTTTTTTATTTTCCAGTCTCTATAGTTTTGGCATGAAAACATATTATCTGTTTACTGAAAATAGAAGTCCATTAAATGTTTCTGAAGGTTTGCTCAGTTGAGTGAATTAATTGTTGCCCTGTGCACTGCCTTGGTTCTCCTTTGTGTTAGCACGGTTTGTTTCAGCTGAGTACTTTAATAGCACTGAACTTTGGTATGATGAGATGTATATAGAACACTGTCTGATGGACGCTGTGACCTTTGTACAGGCGGGTATCAGAGAGGCAACAAGAAGCATTTCGCGGGCCATGGCCGCAGGTCCATACCAAATGCCAACGTGGCCTCTGAAATAAGGAACCCTGAGCAAATGCAGAAGAGCAGGCAGCAGAAGGCAATGGAAATCACGCGGTTGAAGAACAAATCCGCTAAGGACGGCAAATTCCAGAACAAGTTCCAGAAGAACAGGAGGCCCGATGGGAACGGGAAAGGGAGGGGAAGCGGGAAAGGGACCGGGAAAGGGTTCAGCAAAGGGGCTGGTGGCAAAGGAGGGAAAGGTAAGGGCAAGGTGAAAGGGAAGGGCGGGAGGTGATCCATGCTCTCCATTCTTCAGATTGGCAGCAGAAGCAGAGAGATGTTTTCGAAGCAGAATGGTGATCTCAGATTGATGGAGCGATGATGTTCTGTTATTATTGCAGCAGACACCATCTTTGCTGCTCACAGTTTTGTTTATTTGTGGCGGTGGGGGAAAACAGGCAAGACCATAGCGTGAGAACTACTATGATGTGTGTCTTGATGTGAGTGAGCATCAATGAAGCTGCATGGCTCTCCTGACCAGTACAATTCCTGTGTTGCAAACAGACTGGTGTTTTTCTGTAGCCTATACTCGGTTGGCTAATAGAAGGGCAGGCCTGGTGCAAGCGGTAGAGTCTTACCGTCTGGCGCCTGTGATCGGAAGGTTCCGGGTTCGAGTCGTGATCTCCTCGCATTGCATAGGCGAGGGTAAGGCTTGCCACTGACACCTCTCTTCAGACCCTGCACAGAACGGGAGCTCTCTGCACTGGATATGCCCTTTTTTATACTCGGCTAATATCAGTGTAGAAGTTTTGGTGAAAACTTTTTTGCCCTCAAAAGTACTCTGTACTTCTATCTCCTGAGTAGGGTGTTGTCCGTGTTGAGCACCGTCGTTGTTGAGAGCACGAGACACATGATGCCAACTGGTGGTGTTGTGGTCTCCAAAACCAAAACTAAAGCGGGCACTGCGAGTGGTGGGTGACACCGCACGGCGCAGCCGCCGCGCTGCTTGCCGTCTTTTGGTTTTGCCCCGTCGAATGGACGGACGCCGGCTGAAGTTCTGTGCGAAGTGACGATCCATCGCCGCCAAGCCACTCAGGCAACTTTTCCTCTTAGCAGAACGCCCTTTCTGTGTTCTTTTGAAAAAGAAAACAAAAGAGCATAGGCGAAAGATGATACTAGTTCTGTCTCATCCTCCTGTCTGCCTGCTAGGGCGTGTAAACCATTAGCCAGCCTAGCTTCGACTTGCGATGCGGTTCTTGGATTCGATGTAGTGTAGAGTGTAGTGGGGGGCAGTAGTAGCTACGGCCACGAGCAAAAGAAACCTGATCGGTACGTGGTCATACATAGTGCGTGGCTTTGGAGGCTGTAGGAATCAGGGTCACATCACCTAGCAAAAGAAACAGATCAGATAGCATGGTGTGCGTGTGTGTGTGGCTACAGCTCCAGCCTCCAGGTGGGTGGGGCATGAGTCGTGACAGACACAAGCCGGCAAACATGCTCTCTAGTCTACAACATTTTAGCAATTTTATCGTCTCATTTTTCAAGTATATAATGGACTTGTTCCAGAATGTTTAAGGTAGTTTTAGTTCATAGGATCTAGATCTAACCACCTAAATATATCATTTGTTTTAATCTTGTTATCACCAAGTCATTCTCGTCTCTCCTACCTTCAAATCCTCTCTTTTTATCTACACTTCCCTAAATGTCATCCAATCCTCACTTTCAAGCTAGCTCTGCTTGCCGCTACCCTTCTACCACTATGGTCGGGCAGCACCGTCTGGACCTCACGAGTGCTATTGGGATGCATTTTAGTTAGACACGGCTAAAAAAACGGCCGTGCAGGCCGCACGCACGGCCGTCTTCAACCTCTCGCTCGCCACCCCCTCCCCCTTCTTCCTCCTTGCTGGCGGCTGTGCTCCTCCCCGCCGCCGCCCCCAGCCTCCGCCACAGTGCACTAAGGCTTGGGCGGAGCTTGCCCTCGTCAGAGCTCTCCCGCCTCGACCCGGCCCGGCTGCCTCCACCGTCGCCAAAGGCCCCTAACCGCCCTCCAACCATCCCCACCGCCTAGCCGGCCTTCTTCCCCCAAATCTTTCCTTCTAAGCCCGCCGGAGTTGGGGGAGATGAGAGGGAGAGCTCGCCGGAACCCTAGCTTGGAGATCCAGGAGGAGGAGGCCTACCTCGCTGGATCTGCCATGGCCGCCGCTGGATCCACCATGGCCACCATCGAATCCGACAGATCCGCCATGGCTGGCACGGGTGGGGTGAGGAGCTCAGGGCGGGGAGGTGGTGGGGCGCGGGGAGGAGGTCGCCAGTCGCCAGGTAGGGAGGAGGGAGGGAGAGAGAGAGAGAGAGAGAGAGAGAGAGAGAGGGCACGTGAGGCTATGGGGCATGCGGCGCATTAAACGTCCGTACGCCCGTGATAAAGTCTTTACCTTTTTTAGTTTAGTTGGGCCACCTGCAAAGCCCAATCAACCATACCTCTAATAGAAATAATTGAACTCTTAAAGCCTCTTCATCTTCAATTCTCCAATGGAAACATACGCAACAACTGAGCCATCAATAAAGCTGCGCAGAGGAAGAAGGGGAGAGCCCAGTTTCGCCTCCACTAGCCTTCGCCCCTTAGCACCGTACCCTCGCTACTGCACTCAGTGCCTCTACAACGAGGGCATGTAAATACCCCAACCTCAATCCTAAATCCACTGCATAAATTCTATTTCTTATTTTATTTTATTAATTATGTATTTGTAAGATATAAGTCTCCTTATGTGGAGTAAATCCTTTTTTTCATTGAAAAGATCGTCGTGTACATTTTTGTCGAAACTTGCATTTTATTTCTCTCTGTCTAATAAAAATAGCGGCAAAGTTTTTGCCGTCCCTTCAAAAAAAAAAAGTTCATTTCATGGAAAACAAAACATTATGGTATCATGCGTGTGCGTGACTTTGTAGTCCGAAAGAAAGATCCCTTTAATTTTGCCATCCAGTGCAATGATACTGAAACGCCCATGACATTTGAGTAGGCGAAGACAAAATGGTTTCATGGCAGGCCGCTCGGTCCATTCCATCCTTGAGCACGTAACGAGTGACCTGTTGGTGACGCCGGGAATCTAGGCGTGTAAAGTGACGCGGCCACCGTAGAAAACCGTGCTCCAGAAGCGTCAGTGGCATGGCTCTCCACATTTTTTATATATTTTTATATAGGAAAAAAAGTTGGTAGCTGACGGAATATTAGGTGTGTGTATGTGCGCTCGGCTTCCCAAAGTCTGCTCGTTGTCTGTCCGGGGGTGTTTAGTTCACCCCAATTCCAAACTTTAACACCATGTAAAAAGAAGATTTTCCATCACGTTACAGTATATGCATGGAGTACTAAATATTGACGAAATCAAAAACTAATTGCACAGTTTAGTTGTACTTTGCGAGACGAACGTTTTGAGCCTAATTAGTCAACGATCGGACAATTGTTACCAAATAAAACAAAACGTTACTGTTGCTACAGTGTTGCTACATGAATTCAGCCGGCGCCGATTCGGTGAAACTAAACGAGGCTGCAATTCACAACGACACTTCTTCCTTGTCTTTGCGATCGAGGGTGTAAAACTGTCACTCTCCAGCTGATGCCGGGTTTGTATTGAGTGACAACGACATCGACATAGTGTTATGTTGGCCGTGAAAACTTGCAATTTGTGTCGCGATTAGGCGTCTATGGAAGGAACGGATATACTCTCTAAATTCTTCTCTCCAAAGCCAAGTCATATTAAAGCTCTATTTAGATCAAGGTTATACAAACTCGACCCGCGGGGACGACTGTCTCTAACTATTCTACTTAAGATAGAAGATGACCTTCTCACATAGATCAAGAAAATCCTCGATTGCTCCAGTCGTTGAGTCGATTCATCTGGCTTTCACGTCAGATGGTGAGTCGCTTTGCCATTCCCACTAGAGAAGCCCTTACAACCCGCTTCTCCTTTCTCTCCTCTTCTCTCTCCTCCACATCAGCATTTAGCCTGCTTACAGTATGTTATTATACTTGCTCTTAGTTCATCCAAAGAATCCTACTTGAACTATCTAACTGTGCATCTAATGAAAAGTTAGTACTTGGCTGCTATGGAGCCAAACAACCTCAATACTAGTACTACCTTACCATTTCATTTCCAAGGTGTACCAGTGTTTAGACATATTCAAAAGCATATGTATATGTTTAACAAAAGATCATGGGATCAAACTCACTCAATACTCTTTAACTCCACGAGTGTGCTCCTATCACATGCCTATAAACCCTAATTAGTGGACTCATTTACCTAGGGATTTTTATTTGACAACATTTACCTAGGGATTAAAATAGGATCGTCCATCCAAAAGGGGTTCAAAAACTAAATGATTAGTCCGTACATGAATCTAGACATTTAAAATCCATACCGAATTCTAATACGAATGCTCAAAGCTAGAGGACCAAATTTGTCTAGTTTTTTCATTTGGAAAAAAATGACAATTCGGTTTCAACAGTTGGGGGAGTGTCCATTTGTAGTTCAAGGTTGACAATTGAACTGCAAGGTAAAGTCGCAGGTTGCAAGTTGGACTTTATCCGGTTAAAAACAGGTCATACAAGAGAAACTATATGGGTGTGACATAATTTCGAAGTTTTAGTGACTCGTGACCGTAGCCGCTTGCACACCTTTGTGTTTTTTAGATCGAGTCTTAACCTTGGGCCGTCTGGTGCTGGTATATTTGCAAATCATCAAAGAAAAATGAAATGGTGTCTTGTCATCTAATCTAAAGGCCCCAATGGATACAAGACAAATTCAGGGAAGATAAGGATGAAAGGCACACGGTTGTCTCAACCGGTTTTCCATGGACGAAAAACTCTAGATGATGTGATAAAGAAAAAGAAAAAAACACAGCCTTCAAGTCAGAGTACAGGAACAGAGACGTTTTGTCCGACACGACATGCCCATGCTCCCACAAGCCATTTCCAATCTTCAACGTGGCACAGCCCATTTTTTAAGATAAAGAATGCATTATTTTGCTCCTCTTTTAAATAAGGCTCTTCTTAGAAGATAGAAGGCGCGCCTCTGTAGGCTGCAGCTACAACCCATAATTGGTAAGCACTTGTGTTTCCATTTTTAAGCTTCAATACAAGCGGTATAGTCTTACCGCCTGTGACCAGAAGGTTCCGGGTTCGAGTTACGGTCTACTTGCATTTCACAGGCGAGAATAAGGCTTACCACTGACATCCTTTCCTAGACCCCGCACAGAGCGGGAGCTCTCTGCACTGGATACGCCTCCTTTTGTTTTCCATTT